GATGACGATGATGATGAGGGTGATGACGATGATGATGATAATGAGGGTGATGACGATGATGAGGGTGATGACGATGACGATGATGATGAGGGTGATGACGATGACGATGAGGGTGATGATAATGAGTGTGATGACGATGACGATGATGATGAGGGTGATGACGATGATGATGATGACGAGGGTGATGACGATGACGATGATAATGAGGGTGATGACGATGATGATGATGATGAGGGTGATGACGATGATGATGATAATGAGTGTGATGACGATGATGATGAGGGTGATGACGATGACGATGAGGGTATTGATAATGAGTGTGAAGACGATGACGATGATGATGAGGGTGATGACGATGATGATGACAGGATGATGAGGGTGATGACGATGATGATGATAATGAGGGTGATGTCGATGATGATGAGGGTGATGACGATGACGATGATGATGAGGGTGATGACGATGACGATGAGGGTAATGATAATGAGTGTGATGACGATGACGATGATGATTAGGGTGATGACGATGACGATGATGATGAGGGTGATGACGATGACGATGATGGGAGGGTGAATGATAATGAGGGTGATGACGATGACGATGATGATGAGGGTGATGACGATGATGATGATGAGGGTGATGACGATGACGATGATTAATGGGTGATGATGGATGATGATGAGGGTGATGACGATGATGATGATGATGAGGGTGATGACGATGACGTTCATAATGAGGAGTGCGATGACGATGACGATGATAATGAGGGCGATGACGATGACGTTCATAATGAGGAGTGCGATGACGATGACGATGATAATGAGGGTGATGACGATGATGATGAGGGTGATGACGATGACGTTGATAATGAGTGCGATGACGATGATAATGAGGGTGATGACGATGACGATGATAATGAGGGTGATGACGTTGACGATGATGATGAGGGTGATGATGAGAAGAAGGATGATGACGGTAATACTTCACCTGCCTTTTGTTGTTATTATTTAAAATTATGCTAGATTTGTTGATTTTGCGACATGTCAACCCCTGTTGAATTATTGTCAAACTTTTCAATGTGGCACCGAGTGAATATCGAAATCACCGCTTAGTGATAACGACTGACAGAACTAATTTCACCTCGGAACTAATTTCAACTCGGAACTAATTTCAACTCGGATCTATTTTCACTTCAGAACTAATTTCAACCCGGAACTAATTTCACCTTGGAACTCATTTCACCCCGGAACTAATTTCACTTCAGAACTAATTTCAACTCAGAAATAATTTCAACTCGGTTTAAAATCAAAGTTATCAATTTCCATGAATTCCTAAACATGAGTTGGGGTTAATTCTTTAATTTAGCATAAACAAAATCCTTAGATAATCCAGAATTCATCTTTTCTGTAATTTTCATTAATTGAGCTGAAAATAGTTCCGAGTTGAAATTAATTCTGCACCCCGTAATAACGAGCCTCACTAAATTCCATGGTTAGACATCCATTATTTAAGAGAAAAAAAAATGAGTGGAGACTGTACTGTAGTAGTAGTGGGGCTGCTGATGGTGATATTACACCTGCCATTTATTGTTATTGCTTAAGCAGGTTTTTGCTCAATTAGCTAAAAAAGTTAGGAAATTCCAGAGAGTCATCGTCGCCCAAGTTTTAAAGGGGTATGTCACAAAGAAGATAGTCGACTGGAATGCCGAAAGTTGACTTCCAAACAGTAAACAATTTAAGAAACAGGAAAATATCGTTAGAAAAAAAAGAAAAGATTGCTGAACTGCTATGTAACATCAATCCTCCTTTATGGCAGTGAATGCTGGACAATTTCCTCACAGATGAAGAGGAGACTTGAAGCAAGAGAAACAAAGAAAAGAGTGCTGAACTGCTATGTAATATCAATCCTCCTATATGGCAGTGAATGCTGGACAATTTCCTCACAGATGAAGAGGAGACTTGCAAGAGAAACAAAAGAAAAGTGTGCTGAACTGCTATGTAATATCAATCCTCCTATATGGCATTGAATGCTGAACTATTTCCTCACAGATGAAGAGGAGTCTTGAAGCAATAGAAACAAAGAAAAGAGTGCTGAACTGCTATGTAACATCAATCCTCCTTTATGGCAGTGAATGGCAGATGAAAGGAGACTTGCAAGAGAAACAAAGAAAAGAGTGCTGAACTGCTATGTAACATCAATCCTCCCTTATGGATGAATGCTGGACAACTCACAGATGAAGAGGAGAGAAACAAAGAAAAAAGAAAAGAGTGCTGAACTGCTATGTAACATCAATCCTCCTATATGGCATTGAATATGAACTATTTCCTCACAGATGAAGAGGATGAACTGCTATGTAACATCAATCCTCCTTTATGGCAGTGAATGCAGGACAATTTCCTCACAGATGAAGAGGAGACTTGAAGCAAGAGAAACAAAGAAAGAGTGCTGAACTGCTATGTAACATCAATCCAGATGAAGTGAATGCTGGACAATTTCCTCACAGATGAAGAGGAGACTTGAAGCAAGAGAAACAAAGAAAAAGAGTGCTGAATTGTTATGTAATATCAATCCTCTTCTATGGCAGTGAATGCTGGACAATTTCCTCACAGATGAAGAGGAGACTTGAAGCAAGAGAAACAAAGAAAAAAGTGCTGAACTGCTATGTAATATCAATCCTCCTCTATGGCAGTGAATGCTGGACACGAGATTTGAACTAACAGAAGCAACTAAAATAGTGATAAAGTGCTATTTACCATCAGTTCACATATATGGCAGCGAATGCCTGACAATTTCTTCATACACTAGAGTCAATAGTTGTATTCCTACAGAAGAATGCTGAGTATACCAAATGCGGATGTGAGCAACGAGGAAGCTTTAAGGAAAATTCCAAGTAACAAAGGACACTTGTTACGTCGGAACAGAAAGAGTTGAAAATTTGCTAACATGTAATAAGGACTGATTTTGGCACACTGAATATATTGAAGTCAAAAGAGCAAGGATGAAACAAAGTGTAACCTACCTTACCGGCTTGTGTAAGCGACAGGCGGATGAAGAACTTGGAAAATGCCAAGCACTGCTAAGAACAACAAAAGATAAGTAGTTGAGGAGAGCCATGATCGCTCGCGTCCTGAATGAACACGGCACATTAAAAAGGAAAAAGATATAAAAGTAGAAAAATTGCAATGACATCTTAATGTTTAAATAAGTCTATATGTAAATATATAGACAAATATATAAACAAATATGTATATAATATATATTGTATAAATATATATATATATCAGCAAGTCTAAAAAGAGATCCCACGGTACGGTGCCTTCCCAAAACGTTATCCGTTTAATCAGATTGGTGGTAGTTCGGACTCCAATGATGGCATGTAATTAGCTTGGTCTTTGAGGTATTGAAGCGAGTCTTTACCCCGCTGTGTAGTTTGTGCAAGTTCGAAAGAGAGGACAATCGCTAATCTCGGACCATCAAGAGTTTTAGAGGTTTATATATATATATATATATATATATATATATTAAGACATTTTTATGTTTATACATTCTTTTTATAGATACAAATATTTAAGTAAATGCTCTGTTTATAATAAACAGTATTAAACAACATTTACCGGCCTGAATGTCCGAGAAATTTTCATAGAAAATTCAGGCCGGTATCTCTGATAATGACTTATGTAAGCCGAAAGCTTAGATTGGATTTAAACATGTATCAATATGGTGATTTCCTTTCGTCTTTCAACGATAATGTGATTAAGCTTATCAGATAATATGAGAGGAACTTACTTAAAATAAATAGACAAAACTTGTCTATATTTTTTAATGAAACATAAATATATATATATATATATATATATATATATATAATTTAAATAAAAACTTTAAGGTTCCATGTAATAAATTATTTCACCACAGCCCTTTTAAAGGACTGCGGATCATCAGACTTTACTTCCAAAAGTTGAAACGAAAAATGAAAAGAAATTTACACATTTTTGACGGACCGTATTAAGCATATGTAAATTAACGAAGTGAGGAAGTGAGGGGGGAAAGAAAAGAAAACATGAGTCATATCTGATTTAATATTTCTATTGTTTCCTACTTAAAATTACTTGATGAGGTCCAGACATTGACACATTTAAACGGTTAACTTAACGGAAGTTATATGTTGATATAGAAGGGGTAGAGGAGAAAAATACATAAAAAGAAAAAGAGAGAAGGAAGTCATGAGAGAAGGTGTCACTAATTTTCTTTGGAAAGAACAAGCTCAAAAAAGATGCTGTTATTTTGTTTTACTTTGAAAGTGTTATTTTGGGGGTTCATAAAGATTATAATGTTTGATATAAATTTGAAAGTCTAAACTATCTACAAAGAATTTAATCTGATGTTTGTTAGTGATTTAAACTTTTCTAAAAATTTGGGGGATTTTCTATGAAATATTCGATAAGAATAAATATTCATACAAAGTACATTAAAAGAATAAAATTTTATTTTAACATATAAGTTTACTTCTAGTAATCTTTTTTTTATTTTGAAAAGAAATTTTATGATTGGTTATTAAATATTTTTTTTTATTATTGATTATTATAGTCACGAGTTAAATTCATGAACAAAATTCAAACGGATAGAGATGTCAACTTAATAATCAATAATAAAAAAAATATGTGTATAACTGATTCGTTTTCTACGCCTTATATACTTCATTTTAAATACATTTTCGAATATTTTTTCACAACGTCTTTATTGAAATCATTCTACGTCTTTTTTTTCCAGATGATAAAGTCGTTTGAACACGACTGCGTCTTTCTACCTTGTTTAACTGCCATTATCGTTTTTTTTTTTTTGTTTTTTTTCAGCTCACGACTTATTTGGGAAAAAGGGATTATTACGATCACAAAACATGGCAAGACCATATCGGTAAGAGAAACCTATTTTATTATAACCAGCAAACTATACATATGGATGCCACAAACGTGGATACAGAAACACTCTGATCTACCAATATGATATCACAGTTTTTTTTTCATATCTCCCTCCCCTATCTATCTATCCATCTATATATCTCAGTTTTCTCATATCTCTCTCCCCTACCTATCTCTCTATCTTTCTATCTCAGTTTTTTTCATATCGCTTTTCCCTACCTATCCATCTCTCTACCTATCAATCTAGCTCTCTACTAATATATCTATCTAGCTATCTATCTCCCTATCTGTTTACCTGTCTGTTAGTCTATCTAAGTTTTTTTTATATATCTCACCCCTATCGCAGTCTTTTCTATCTCTCTCCCTTATCTATCTATCTATCTATCTATCTGTCTGTCTGTCTGTCTGTCGGTCGATCGATATATCTCTCTCTACCTATCAATCTAGCTCTCTACTAATATATCTATGTACCTATCTATCTGCCTATCTCTCTATCTGTGTCTGTTTATCTATCTATCTATCTATCTATCTATCTATCTATCTTAGTCCATTCGTATCTATCTATCTATCTATCTATCTATCTATCTATCTATCTATCTAACTTTTCATTTATCTATCTATCTATCTATCTATCTATCTATCTATCTATCTATCTATCTATCTATCTATCGATCGATATATCTCTCTCCCCTATCTATCTATCTATCTATCTATCTATCTATCTATCTATCTATCTATCTATCAGTATTTCTTTCTATCTCAGTTTTTCATATGTCTATCCCATATCTATCTATCTATCTATCTATCTATCTATCTATCGTCTTCTCATATCTATCTATCTATCTATCTATCTATCTATCTATCTGTCTGTCTGTCTGTCTGTCTCGTTTTTTCGATATCTATCCCGCTCTTTTCTTGCCTGAGTTCGTCCGACACCCTTCGTCCCAATCTTCCCTCCACACCCACACATTTAATCCTTTATTTATTACAGTCTCCCCATTATAAGGTGTATTGGGTCACCTCAGTATCCTATTCCAGTTAATATCCGAATTAGATTTTTTTTAAACTTTGACCTGGGAGATTATCTCAAATCCTTAAAGTCGATTACTAGGCGGTTTATTTCTATATTATATGTGATTGATTTCACCCGTTACAAAACTCGCGTAAATAATAAGTTTTATTACAATATTCTCAGTGGTTAAAATGACTTTGAGCGAGTGAATCCTGTTGGTCGGAAAATCTATTTTGTACGTATAGCGCGAAATCGTTAGATGTTTTGACAGATGTACCTGCTAGCATAGGGAGGGGCTCTTAACTACAGTGAATTTGAGGGTAGTGAATCTGATTCACTGCACCCTTATCACTCTGGCCTTGTATCAGATTAAAATAATCTTCGTTAATACGTATAAGGATTTTTGACATGGCGTTATATTCGGATTAATGTTTTTTTTTTTTTCTTTCTTTACCGTGATTCAATATTATTTTGTTTTATTTCAAGTAAAATCAAAATTAAAATTCCTAAGAAAATATTTAAATTATGATATAAAATTTTAATTCAAAGTTTCGGGGTCCAAGAATTGAAACCATGACAGTTAGGTTGTCAAGCAAACATCATACCAACTGTTCCACCGGGCCTCTTGCCAATCAGACTCAATATAGCGCCGCTCACTCACATATTCCGTGGTAGAACTCTTACTGAGTTCTCTGTAACCATAGGACTGTGCCCACTGGAGCCACGACTACTTTCACCAAGCCGCTCACTCTAGAGCATTAGAAGCCGGTTCAAGCAGTGATGTACATGATAGAAATTATTAGGATGCGCACTGGTGATGAGTCCAAAATATAGGACGAAACGGCCGTCCAGTGATTTCTGCATTCTGTTGAGCTTTCTTTCAGACTCGATGAATTACTTAATATATAATTATCAAATCCTCCTAATAATTTCTATCATATATATATATATATATATATATATATATATATATTGAGAGAGAGAGGGGGGGGTACACCAACGATTTTCTGACATTTTCGATGCCACTGAAATAGATTCAATGACAAAATGACTTACCGACGCAAATAGTTCATACATACCTTGCACGTAAAATTTCCAGAAAGGAAAATGGCCGCCCTCTGAGCCAAAATATTCAAAGGCAATAAGGTCACGCGGGACTTTTCGAGATATACGAAATAGACTCTATAAATCGCGAGACCAAATTACTGTGGACACCTTTCTTTTTCTTTATTAAAAAGTCTTGTCTCATGATTGGTGAATGGTTATTGTTGGTGCTACTGATGTGACACGAATGTAGTTCTAAGGGATTTAGGAACATTCGTATAAAGAAAATTGATACAAGGAACATTGGTCTAAATAATATTTGTCTAAGGGAAACATGTCTAAGAAATACTCGTATAAGGACATTGGTTTATCTAATACCCACCTAAGGACGATTGGTCTATAATAATATTTTTTAATAAATTAACACTTTATTCCTGTACAAAATACAGTGTAACCTCGGTTCTTGAACGTTTCGCATGTCGAATAAATCGGTTTTTGAACACAAAATTCGAGATGAAAATACCTCAGTTATCGAACAAAATTTTGTTTTTTGTCTGGAGAATATTGGTCTAAGGAACATTCGTCTATAGAATATTGGTCTAAGGAACATTCTTCTGAAGAATATAGGTCTTAGGAACATTTGTCCAAAGAATATTGGTCTAAGGAACGTTCGTTGACAGAATATTGGTCTAAGGAACATTCTTGTAATGAATGTAAGCCTTAGGAACATTTGTTCGAAGAATATTGTTCTAAGGAACATTTGTTTACAGAATATTGGTCTAAGGAACATTCTTCTGAAGAATGTAAGTCTTAGGAACATTTCTTTGAAGAATATTGGTCTAAGAAACATTTGTTTACTGAATATTGGTCTAAGGAATATTCTTCTGAAGAATATAGGTTTTAGGAACATTTGTTCGAAGAATATTAGTCTAAGGAATATTCATCTAAAGAATATTGGTCTAAGGAACATTCGTCTATAGACTATTGGTCTAAGGAACATTCTTCTTAAGAATATAGGTCTTAGGAACATTTGTTCGAAGAATATTGGTCTAAGGAACATTTGTTTACAGAATATTGGTTTAAGGATCATTCTTCTGAAGAATGTAAGTCTTAGGAACATTTGTCCGAAGAATATTGGTCTAAGGAACGTTCGTTTACAGAATATTGGTCTAAGGAACATTCTTCTGAAGAATATAGGTCTTAGGAACATTTGTCCGAAGAATATTGGTCTAAGGAACATTTGTTTACAGAATATTGGTCTAAGGAACATTCTTCTGAAGAATGTAAGTCTTAGGAACATTTGTCCGAAGGATATTGGTCTAAGGAACGTTCGTTTAGAGTATATTGGTCTAAGGAATATTCTTCTGAAGAATATAGGTCTTAGGACATATTAGTCTAAGGAACATTTGTTTACAGAATATTGGTCTAAGGAACATTCTTCTGAAGAATGTAAGTCTTAGGAACATTTGTTTGAAGAATATTGGTCTAAGAAACATTTGTTTACTGAATATTGGTCTAAGGAACATTCTTCTGAAGAATCTAAGTCTTAGGAACATTTGTCCGAAGAATACTGGTCTAAGGAATATTCATCTAAAAAATATTGGTCTAAGGAACATTTGTCCGAAGAATATTGGTCTAAGGAACATTCGTCTAAAGAATATTGGTCCAAGGAACATTCTTCTGAAGAATATAGGTCTTAGGAACATTTGTCCGAAGAATATTGAATGACCATTCGTCTAAAGAATATTGGTCTAAGGAACATTTGTCTAAAGGAAACTTTTTTAGGGTCATTTGTCTTAGGAATACTCATCAAAATAAATTGGTCTATGGAGTACCCGTCTAAGGACTATTTGTCTATAATAATATTTTTTTAACAAATTAACACTTTATTTATGCACAAAATACTCAATTTATTTGAAATTCATTAAATTACAGAATAATATTTCAGACAATGCAGTATTAATTACTGATGATAAATAAGCATCTATTTACATCCATTGTTTGTACCCTAATACTAATACATCAGACCTTGGGGAGCTGGTATTGCTGGCGGCATCAAGATCTTAGACCAGCGTTTCTCAACCTTTTTACCCTTGTGTAACCCTTAAAATAAATTACATGACTCAAGAAACCCCTGCGCAAAAACTAAATTATATACTATACTTTTTATTTCCATCGTAGTTTACGTGGTAAATATCATAGTTTATAATTTTAAATAAATGCTTTAAGGAAAAATGAATACTTCTTTGTTAAATTTTTCGGTCATGCTAAATAAAATTCATACGGTTTGTCTATAATACTTCATCAGGGAGTTTTCATTCACCCCCAAAAACTTCTAAACTTAAACGTAATAAATAAACTTAACCAACATGTTATACCTATAATATAGATGTAAACAGAATAAAAACAGATAATTGGTGCATCAGTTTGTTTTTTATTTTTTTATCCTTTATTAGCTATGTTGAAAAGATATATGGTAAATCAACGCAAAATGTCCTGTGAACCAATAAATGGGCTAAGAAAATGTTATTTTCAGAGCCATTTCATAAAGTGAAACATGCTTCTCTAATGTGAAGCCTGTGACTGTCTTTTGCTACAGAAATCCTTAATTCGCGGTCGAACTTTAAATAAACAGACACGGATTTCATTCTTAATTGATAAGAGACGATTTCTGTCTTTGCTTTGAATACTTGATAAATAAGAAAAGACTGTGCGTGTTTAGTAATATTACGTATATGAGATTAAATAAGAAGTCAAAAGTGCATTAGCTTATCTCTCCTGTTCTTGCGCAACCCTTGGGGACATTTTGCGGAACCTTAGTGGATTAAATAATTAATTTTGATAGATCCAGTAACAAAAGCATCGAAAGTGCATAACGTCATGAGAGTTTGAGCAAATAAATAAAACTATGAAGACATTGAGAAAAATATGAATTGTTTATGGTAAAGGAATTATAACGGACCGGTAAATAAAAAAAATGGTTTCTACAGTTTCATTCTGGAGATAGATAGATAGATAGATAGATAGATAGATAGATAGATAGATAGATAGATAGATAGATAGATAGATACGAATAATGTGAGATAGATAGATACCAATAGATAGATAGATAGATGAATAGATAGATAGATAGATAGATAGACAGATACGAATAGTTTGAGATAGATAGATAGATAGATAGATACGAATAATGTGAGATAGATAGATACCAATAGATTGAGATAGATAGATAGATAGATAGATAGATAGATAGATAGATAGATAGATAGATAGATACGAACAGTCTGAGATAGATAGATAGATAGATAGATAGATAGATAGATAGATAGATAGATAGATAGATACGAACAGTCTGAGATAGATAGATAGAAAGATAGATAGATAGATAGATAGATAGATAGATACGAATAGTTTGAGATAGATAGATAGATAGATAGATAGATAGATGGTGGCTGTCAACTCGTAAAGCGAGTATAACCCTCACTGACATGTCCAGCCGTTCACTTAAACTCCCCCACCCACAACACTGCATTTATCAGTGTGAAAGGCAGTGGATCAGCCATCAATCTGCATTTCTTGTTACATATGTGGTATATCAAATCATCTTCGGGTGGTGGAAGTTGACTTTGATTATCATCACTTCCAAAGTGCCTTTTCATATGCCTTGTCAGGCCCGACCTGGAATTGAACACCCTAGTGCATATCGTCGTATACAATAGACTGTTGGTGCTGGTGACTGAACAGACCCGTCCTGGATGTCTTAGAAAAGATCTTGATGCCGTCAGTAATACTAGCTCTCCCCGGTTTTCAGCTAGAGTCTCCCAGTTATTCAGACCAATATTGCACTTGTATAGTGACTCTTTAAGGCAATCCTTGTAACGAACTTTGGGATTGTGCTGCGGTCTTTTCCCCATTTCTAATTCTCCATACATTATTTGTTTCTAAATTC